TAATTTCCCAGATAAACTGATGCAAAATAAAAATCCGGAAATTTGGAAAAAAAGAAAAAGAAAATCATAAGATTGCTTTCTTTATTTTTTAACTTTCACTTTTACATGTGGTCTGAAGGCACCTGGAAAGCAAGCAGGGACAAGGTGCCCCTAAACGCGTAATGACAATCAAGTGGTGAAGGACAATCATTAGCGACACCGCGTATTTCTTTGACTTTCTAATGCTTTTAAGTATATTTGCATTTGGTTTATTTTTTTTTTTCAAACGTGATTTTAAAATATTTTAGGTTTGGATATGATAAAAAATAATTCTTATTAAAAAATTTTCAAACTAATTAAAAATTTCTCAAGAATAACTTTTCAAAAGGAGAAATTGCAAAAAAAGACCTTAGAATTGCAAAAACACAGATAGGGACCCTTGACAACTTCACTTTGGGTTTTGACAACTTCAGGGCATATTATTCTTGTCAAAACCCAAAGTGAAGTTGTCAAGGGTCCCTATCTACGTTTTTGCAATTCCAAGGTCTTTTTTTGCAATTTTCCCTTTTCAAAATATCACCTGTGTGGTCCCACAAGATTTATTTTAGGTTTGTCAAATAAAAAAATGTCTTTTATGTTTTCTTGGTATGATATCATGAATAAGAAACGTCAATGTTAAAAATATTAAATATTGATAAAATATTTTTAAATACTGGCATATTAAACTTACTTTTTGGAAAAAAATAATTCGTACAAAAAATAATCATTTGAGTCTAACAATATTAGTTAGTCTTAGGGTGTGTTTGGATGAAACCAAACCATGGTTTGGAGAATAGCTTCTGGAGAATAGATTCTGAAAAAAAATAGATTTTGGGAAGAATAGATTTTGTGAAAAAAGTGATTTTGAGAAGTGTGAGTGTTTGGATAGTTGTTATTAGAAGTACTTTTTATATATACAAATTGGCATAAATTAATATGATAATTATAGAAAAAATATATTTTATGATATATTTTAATTTGAAGGAATAAAATTATTAATAATATATTTTTTATTAACATATATTAATAATATATAAGATAATATAATTAATAAATAATTAATATGTATATATATTTATAAGATATAAGATTAAATATGTTTATAAAAAATATGTTTATAAAAAAAACAACAAGATACATATCCTATAGGCTCTCACACTCTCCCTTTTTTCTCCAAAAGTAAAAAATTTCTGCTTTTCCCAAAACCATGGTTTCGGAGTCAAAACCATGGTTTTGAACCCAAACCATGGTTTTGATTTTTTTAAGGGTGTTTGGCTAATATTTTTCCCAAACCATGGTTTGGGATGCTTGCCAAACACACCCTTAATCATATGACTACAAAGATACCTTATAAAATGAAGCAACCAAATTGAAAAATGGCATAACAAAAAGATGATTAATTTCCCAGATAAAATAATGCAAAATAAAAATTCAGAAATTTTGCAAAAAAGAAAAAGAAAGTCTTAAGATTGGTTTTTTTTTTTTTTTTTTTTTAACTTTCACTTTTACATCTGGTCTAAAGGCACCCGGAATGGAAAGCAAGTAGTAGGGACAAGGTGTCCCCAAACGCGTAATAACAATCGAGTGTCGGAAGGCCTGATTTTAAAGTTCACTTGCAGAGAAAAGGAAAGGAAAGGAAAACGAAAGAGCACTATCAATTCTCTACGTATGATATGAGCAGCTATCACATACGTACACCCGTTTAGTTTCTTTCACCATTGTTATATTTGCTTTTCCATCCATGAGCATCTATATGTGATAGACTTTTCTGATCTTTAATATAAGACCCATTTAACTAATTTAATTAAATTAAGAAAGTTAAGTAAATTAGTTAATTATAAAAAAAGTAACATATTTTTTTTAAAACACCATAATCATTTTTCTTAATACCCCATCTCCCCTTTCTACTTGATTATGGTTGAGGGAGTATCTATAGAGGTAATTTAGAGAAAATTGATAAATATGATAATAAGTCTTATATTTAAAACCAAAACTAACTCAACAATTGGTCCTCTATTAATAACCGGAAGAGTATATGTGTATATATATCTCAATTCTCTGCGCATGACATGAGTGGCTTGTTGGTTGCTAATAATAATTGCTGCTAAGTGGGTGCTTTTTGATATGTGAAAAGGATAATATGCAGCCGAAAGCCTGAAAAGTAATACTACTCGTACATAGATGTACCATAGGTGTTTAACTCCTCACAAGCTTTTATTTTTGTTTTTTAATTTTAAAAAACGTCGTTTTTAGTTATCTGATACTTTTTGGGGTCAAAATTAGTTATCTTTTTTTTTTTGGGGGTAAAGGTCACAATTAGTTATCTAATATTAACATTATTAAAAAAGTGACAACATTGAAATTTTGAAAATGGACAAAATATTCTCAGATGCTGACATTTAAATTTTTAAAATAATAATGAATGAGACATAAAATCATCGTTATATTATTGATACTAACAGTATTATGGCAAGATGAGCAAGAAAATACTTATAAAATGAATGGACAAAATTGAAATATTATATAAAATTATATGACATCATGGGATCACATTACTGTATAAATCATTTTTTTGGCCTGTAATCATACATTATTGATATATAAACATTCATATTCGGTCAAAAAAGATATATAAACATTCGTATATCAGTAAAGAGTTTGTTCGGTATGCTTAAAATGTACTAGTTTCTATTTTTAATATACAATCTAATTGATTAATTTGAAAAGATTAAGAAAATATTTAAATTACTTAACTAAAAGATCCTAGTGATAATACAACAATCTCCAATGACAAGTTTCAGAATAAAAAATGACAATTGCTTACTTGTCATTAAAATTTACAGATAACTATTTTCTATTTTTGAAACCTCATTGTAATTCTTTCTTTAAAAACCAGTTACATGGTTTGGGAAATTCTATAGAGAAGGGAAGTTTTCAATTGTTTTAAAATAGGTTTTTACAGTAAAAAGTAAGGTAATTGTATCGCCAAAAAAAAAAAGTAAGATGATAAACTGATAGTACTTACCACAATTAAATTGGGTCCATATAAATGTTGTGGTTTAAACTTTAAAGTCAACCTAGATCATTATTTTTACCAAGCAATTTCTGAATTTTCTCAAATTTAAATTTAAGTGCAAAATGATGTGAGGGAATATATGGACCTCAATTAAAAAAGAAAAACGTAAGATAGAAATAGCATGAGATGAATTAATTAATGAAAAATAAATTTTATTCCTCGGAAATTATATAAAAATATTATGTGCTGTATATATGAAGGAGTTTTGCATTAGGAGTCTCCTCTCTCTCAGACTGTCGCACTCATTCATTCGGTAACTTTTGAAAATGATATTAAAAAAGTAACTAATTTTTCGTACAAACAATTGCAAAATAAGAATTCTGAAATTTCAGAGAATTGTACCTCGAGAAAAGCAAATATCAGAAGAATTCCAAAGACGTAGTAACAGTTAACTGGAACGCACTGATTTCTTCAACTTTGATTTCACATTTTTGGGGTCCATTAGAAAGGACAAAGAAAGAGCCTTATCACTTCCTAGCTGAAACCGAGTTGACGACCCAAGTTCATGTGATATATGAATATGAAAACCTCTTTTTCTTTGCCTCTAAGCTTTTCATTTTGTGATAATTGCTTTCTATTTTAGAGAGAGAAAGAACGAGCAGTATGGTTTCCAACCAAGTTGACGACTCATCAAGCTCATAAAAAGTCTGGTGATCGCAGTAGAATTCTGTTCATCTGGTTTCTGAAAATTTGCAAGCCGAGAATCTCAAGCTGAATTTTGCAAGCTTAATTATCTGGTATGAAAATCAAACCGTCATCAGTCTTTCATTTTCTGGAGCTGTCACTTACAGATATTGCATTTGTTACTTGTTCTTCTTTCAACTTGCGTGGCACAGATCCGATAGAAAATACCACTCAAAACAATACATAGTTGTGTCTAAAAGTAGCTGCAAAAAGCTTACATCTCATGGCAATAAAGTGACAACAACTGATCTTTCTTATTTTTCAGATTCAACACCTTCAAATTTACCTTTCATCAGCTTGCTGCTACGTATTTCGAGATGAAGCAGTAAAAAGATTGCTCTTCATGGAATGAAATTTTGATTTTGAAACGGTACGCACCTGAGTTTGGAAGAAAAATAGCTTTACAATAAATAAGTTAATATTTCAAGATTTTTCTAGCACACATGTTCTATCTATATTAGAATATTTTTATATTATCTCATAAAATGCTAGTTCTAAAAAATTTTACCTTGGAAAAGTAAAAATGATAAGATTGCATTTTAACTTCTGAAAGATTGCATTTTACCAAAGAAATTGAAAATGGACAACACCTACTGTTCAAGGCCTGAAACATCTTATCTGCGTCTTGTCTCTCGCCGGATCTGGTCATTGCAGCCCAATTCTATTCTTACTCTTGAAAATCTACAACCCCAGACCGAAAGTGCAACTTCATCCGTCACAGGTATGAAGTAATACCCTTCTTTTGCAGAGTCTCATTTTTTTCCCACTTTATTCATTCACATGTTTCTTTTGCCATTGTTCTATTTGCTTTGCCATACATACGCATCTATCTGTGATCTTTCTCAATTCTCAAAGTATGACAAGCTTGTTAGTTGCTGATAATTACTGCTGCCAATTTTAGACTACTTGTTTTCTTCTTTCACCTTTGCATCGATCTGCTACAAAAATAGAATCATAAAACACTAAATTTTGTTACTCTAATCTCTGGACATAGCCGGCGGGGCCAAAAAACCCTGTCATCACAGCAAGAAAGGTGAACAAAAACAATTGATCTTTCTATAGTTTACTCTGGATTAAAAAAAATCGTTATTCTCATCTTGATGACCTCTTGATGATATCTTCATGACAGATTAAGTACCTAAGATGCTTCAATTCTTCAAAATGAAATTTTGAGTTAATAATTTGATGAATGGGTCCCCTTTCAGGTTTCTATTAGTATTAAATGGCAGAGGTGGGAGTGTCGGTGGCAGCAAAACTTGCTGAATATTTGGTGCATCCAACTTTACAGCAGCTGCAATATTTGTTCTGTGTGGGCAAAATCACCAAAAATGTTGAGATCAGAAAGGAAGAGCTGATCCTGAAGCAAGGGAGGGTGCAGGAACGCGTTCAAGAGGCCGTCAACAGGACTGAGAGGATTGATGATGAGGTTCACAGGTGGAAGAATGACGTGAAGAGCCTCATAGAAGAGGTGGAGAATTTGGAGGAAAGACTAAGGGCTAATCATGGTTGCCTTCGAGGGTTGTGTCCTACTTGGAGGAGATATTATCTCTGCAAAAAGTTGGCTAAGACAATCCGGAGGATGATTGATCTAATTACAAAGAGTAATCGCTTGGATCCATTTTCCCATCCCGTTATTGTTCCAGATATAGTGTATCACTCTTCACAAAACTTCAAGCTCTTCAACTCTACACAAATGGCTTTTGACCAGTTGTGGGAGGCTTTGCAAAATGAGGGTAGCTCCGTGATTGGACTTTGGGGGATGGGAGGGTCAGGGAAAACTACCTTGGTGACAGAAGTGGGAAAGAAAGCCAAAGAGTCACAACTCTTCGATAGAGTTGTGATTGCCACAATTTCTCAAAGTTTAGATATCATGCAAATTCAGGATGAAATTGCTGACTCGTTGGGGCTCAAGTTAGAAGAAAAATCTAAAACAGGAAGGGCAAAAAGAATTGCACTACGATTACAAGGCGGAAAACCGATTTTGGTAATACTGGATGATATATGGGCTAAGCTAAATCTTGAGCACATAGGGATTCCCATGGGGGGAAATCCTCAAAGAAGTTGCAAAGTTGTCCTGACCACACGCCTTTTAGAAGTGTGTACCTTGATGGAATGTCAAAAGACAATCAAACTTGATTTGTTAAAAGAAGATGAAGCTTGGATTTTGTTTCAAAGTCATGCTAATGTCAATGATGCTGCTCAACAGGATATGGCACGACAAATCGCTATGGAATGTAAGGGCCTACCCATTGCGATTGTAGCTGTGGGTACTTGCTTGAAAGAAAAAGGAGTTGATGAGATGAAGGTAATGTTGTATCAGTTGAGGAATGCGAAAGCAACCAATGTGAATAAAGGAGTAAGGGATGCTTTTACTTGTCTTGAATTAAGCTATGATAATTTGGCAACCCGAGAAGCCAAGTTGTTATTGTTAATGTGTGCTATGTTTACTGAAGATCGTAATATTAGTGTTGAAGACCTTTTCAGATATGGAGTGGGTTTAGGCCTATGTGAAGATGTAGACTCATTTGAAATAGCAAGGAGCCAAGTTAGAACAACTATAAATGATCTCATCAACTCCTCATTGTTGATGTATTCTTCAAAATTCAACACAAATGCACAAGAATATGTGACAATGCATGATATGGTTCGTGATTTTGCATTGTGGAAAGCATCTAAAGAGGATCGTACCATTGGGGTAAATTGTGGAAAGGAATTGAATGAATTGATTGCTGATGAAGTGGTGAAAAATTGTTATGCTGTATCTTCATGGTATGAGAACAATAAACTCTTTCAACTTCCTTCTCAATTGGATGTCTTTCAATTTCCTTCTCAATTGGATGCTCCAAAGCTTGAGTTTCTGTTGTTACAATCTGGAAAACTCTTGGATATCTCACATGCATCATTTGAAGGAACTAAAGGACTGAAGGTGTTAATTATTAGGTCCTTCTGTTTTGGGCACCTCAAAGCTAAACTATTACAACCTCAATCAATCCAACACTTGTCTAATCTTCGAACTTTGCGATTGCAAGGTTGGAATTTACGTGACATCTCTTTTGTGGTAAGCCTTACAAGACTTGAAATTCTTGACTTGCAAACAAGTATGTTTGAAAGATTGCCAAATGGAATTGAAAATTTAAACAAGCTGAAGTTGTTAGATTTGTCAGATTGTTACATAGGTGAATGTTGTTGCAAAGTAATAGGAAGATGCTCACAGTTAGAAGAGTTGTATGTTACCATGCATTGTCCACAGTCAAAAATTGCAAAATGCTATGAATGCCTTATGGCCCCTACTGCTTTGATTAAACTGAGAAGGCATAGGATAGAAATTGGGGAGCATAAATTTTTGTATCAAAGGGAAAGTGCAAGATATTTACGCTTGGTTCAGTTAAATATCGCCATGTTAGGTGTAGGAATCAAGGATCTTGCACAAAGAGCAACTACAATTGAATTTCATGAGCTTGAGGGAGGCAGCAGAAGTTTCATGCCTAATGTTGTTCAAGCTATTGGAGCCATGAATGAGTTAACCAAGCTCTGTCTTGGAAGGTGTTCAGAGATGGAATGCATTATTGACAAAATCAATGCTCATGAAGATGCGATTGCCCCAAGATTGGATGAGTTAGTGCTAGAAGATATGGATAATCTTCAACAACTACATCGTGGTCTTTCTTCTTTTAGCTTGTTCCAAAAGCTGGAAAGACTAACTATATCCAATTGCCCTCAGTTGCTCCATATATTCCCTGCTGATTGCAACTTAGGCAATCTTAAGTTTCTCGATATTTCTGGTTGTCTGAGGTTGACATCTCTCTTCCCTGTCTCTGCTATGTTCACTCTGCTGTCCTTACAAGAGCTCCGAATAGAAAGGTGCAGTGAACTGAAGCATGTAATAGAAGGAGAGGCTGATGGTGATGCAAGGGAGAATTTGAGCTTCCCAAAATTGAAAATTTTGTCTGTTGATAATTGCTGCAAATTAGAATCTGTATGCTCAGTCTTTTTAGCTCAAAGGTTTGTACAATTGCAGCGTCTATCCATAGCAAATGCTCCTCAGATGAAATTTTTGTTCGGTGAAAATGCTGATGAAGAACAACCACTGCGTGATCAAGATGAGACTCAAATAGCTCTTTCTATTTTGGAATACCTCACACTAACAAATCTTCCAAACCTTGTCGGAATTTGCTCAAAGAGGTATCATCTAAGGGGGCCATCTATAAAGACAATAGAATGCGAGGATTGTCCAAATCTGGTACGTGTTTGCCTCACATATTGTAATTTGATTTGCAAAAAAAAAAAAAAGTTGAAATTGCTAATTTTTTTTTTTAGTTTATGTAAAAAGACATCTTTGTTTACACGTCTAATTTTTTCTTTATCATCCACAAAATAGCAAATAATGTTCAAGTGAATAGATCTTGAGAGATGAGTTAGTCAATTAATTCATTCACATTTTGTTATTTAAAATAAGAAATAAAATTAAAATATCTAAAATCATGCACAATTTTTTTGAGCATTTGAATTTCACTCTGCTTTTGGTTTAGAATTACTCTGCATTATGGAAATAAAAATGCAATGACCAATAACAACTTTTGTTTACCATTTCAACGGCCCACAATAAACACTGACTCTTATGGGCCCCTCTTTATAATTTTTCCTTGACTTCATTGATTGTGAAATCTATTTTCTTATATATGCATTTGGTTTATCTTTATTTGTTTAATTTACCAAAAAATTGATGGACTAAGTCTATGCAAGAATGATGCATATGGAATTTTCATCAATCTCGATTTATTGTTTTTTAGGAATTATGTTAAAAGATGTCATTTTCTTTATTCTTTTTTTTCCTTTCACAAAGGATTTGCAGGAACTTCAGAGCCACCAGAGGAATGAAGAACACGAGTCGTTGGCAACTATAGAACGTATTGGACTTCATAACTGCGGAGTAGAATCCATTTCCCTCTATAAGACGCGCGTCGAAGAACAATATCCAACATTTCAATCCCTTAAAGAACTAGCCTTGGCAAACCATGCAAGATTGAAATTTGTCTTTTCTGCTCACATGTGTCAAAGTCTTCCAGAGTTAACTTCTGTAACCATATCTCGCTGTGAGGAGTTGGAGGCGATCTTTTCGGAGAATGAAGAGACTCAGAAAAATCCACCTAATGCTGAATCTTGTCTCCCGAAATTGAAGACGTTGGAAGTCTCTGAGTGCAACAAGCTTAAATTCATTTTATCTTTCATGATTGGTCCTACTGTCTCAATGCTGCCACAACTAAGCACTCTAGCCATATCAAATTCTTCCGAAATGGAAGAAATTTTCAAATGCCCAAATATTGAAGATCATCACATTGATAGTAGTGAAAAGGAGATTACATTCCCGAACATGAAATATCTGAAACTTGAGAACTTGCCAAGACTTGTTAATGTCTGCCAAGGATTCAAGTTGCAGACAGGGGAGTTTTGCACGGTTGCGGTTCATGACTGCCCAAAACTTATGCCAATTATGGGTGCATCTATTCATTGGACTAAAGAGGTAACGAATATTCTGCATTTGTATTTCTCCATATTGCAAATATTTTTCTTTCTTTTTTTTTTTTGCAAAATTAATTAAATTCATGCGAGCTGAACATTTAATACTTTCAATTTTTTGTTTTTAATGTTTTGTTCATTTAAGCTCATGAACTGCGGTCTAATACATTCATTCGTTTCACATGCATATGAATAAGACATCTCTACATACAAAAAGCTGCTTCAAAAAACGAATCATTCTGCATTTCATGAAAGAAACCAAACGAACTACGGTTTAGTTTGTCAACTTGTGACTAGTCTTCCACCATGTTATCTCAAAATCAATGACAGTTCAAGTCATAGAAGTTGAAGAGAAGGAGGATTTCAGCAATGCAGAGCATTATATATTTCCGGTTTTACCATGATTCTGCCATGTAGACAAGCAATTGACTAAGATATCATATATTCTTGCATACAAATCGAAGTTACCAAATTAAGAACTGCATATCTTAACTTGTACAAATAGGTACAGATGTTGAATGTACTCAATCTCTTCCTTTTCATAACCTTTATCAAGGAACTTAGAATATTTTATTCCCTCACCTTTCACTTCTCTGTTATATGCAGGGACTTGTAAGGAAGTATGTGTTGAGATACAGCCAATTGGATAACAATGAGGCTCTCAATAATCTTCCACTTTCTGTTCTAAATATTGGAGAGTTTGATATTCAAAGTCCTAGAGTTGAACACAAGCGGCGAGTGATTGTTAATGATGAGCAAGAAGAAGCCAATAACTCAGAAATGTTGAGATCAGAAGAGCAAATGGTGGGAGGTCTTGTTCCCACGCAAGTGTTGAGCTTTCAACATCTTCATTCCTTAGAAGTAACTCACAATAAAAAGTTGAAGTTTTTGTTCTCAAGAAGCACTATTGTCCATACCAGCCTTCCCAAGCTAACTTCCCTAACCTTATCTGATTGTGAGGAATTAGAGGTGATTTTTAGACAAAGCAGTGAAGGTGATGCGAACTACAGTGAGACAATTGTGCTTTCCAGCTTGAGGACGATAGAGCTAACAAATTTGTCAAATTTGACAAGTGTTTGTCAAGGATTGCAGATTCAGGTGCAGTTAAGCAGCATCAGCATACGGAACTGCCCAAAATTTGTGGATTCAACTTTGGGAAGGGCTCTTCAACAATTGGGAACAATATCGGTATGAATGAATATTCCATATCATCTTGATTTAGAGTCTTCAAAATTAGATGGAATATATGCTATTAGAATCATTATATATATATATATATATATCTCATTTGGGTAGCTGCATAAATTATATAGGGAATTTATAAATTACAAGGAGATTTTCAAGGGCGTGAAGAAAAAAAATACTTGATGTATGGACACAAATAGCTTTTCTTTCAATTTCAGATCACAATGGATGAAATTATATGGAATATATATGTGTGTGTTGTTGGACTTCATTTCACGTTTTTTTTAAAAATATTTATTAAATATATTCTTTTAAAATTTTTCATATCAAAATTGTGACTATGAAATTTCACCCCAGAAAAAATGGCATTGAAAGAATAATTGTGTGCGTGGTGATTCACAGACTATTTTGATAAAAAATATATTTTATAGGAAATTAATCTAAATCAATTATAAATTTGTTTTTTTGTTTAACCTGTAACCATATACTGATGATATATAAATATTTGTACATCAGTGAAGAGCGAGGAGTTTGCTTGGTTTGCTTACAATGTATCTAATTTTTTTAAATCCAAGTTTTAAAAAAGAAACTTTGAATGCTCTAAATTTGATTGCTGTGAATAAATTTATCCTTTTTTTAAAAAAAAGAAATTGCAATTGCTACAGGTTTCAACGGAAGATTCAAATGTTCAAACGTCATCAAATGGAGGAAAAGAATTGCCAGTAAATGAAGAAAGAGGGACGGTGGTGATCTCACGAGCAACGGAGTTGCATTTGAAGGATTCAATGAACCCCGTATCTGTATGGGTGGGTCCCGGTTTCATGGTCTTCCAAAATCTTCGGAGGTTATCTGTGATTAATTGTAGAAAATTGAAGTGTATGTTCCAAAGCACTGTGATCAGAAGCCTACCATGTTTGGAGTATCTAAGGATTATAGAATGTGAAGAGTTGGAGGAAATGATGTCATCAGAGGAAGAGCATCACTACTTTCCAAATGCATCCTCCTCTCATTCCTTCTGCTTCCCACAACTTAAATATCTTACAGTCTTTAGATGCAGAAAGTTGAAATGGCTCTTCCCCTCTCCACCCTCTACTCAACATCATCTTCCACAGTTGGATCGTTTGTGGATTGATGAGTGCTCTGAGCTAAAAGGACTTTTTAATTGTGAACCTGAAATCCAAGAGGAAGGGTTTTACGACAACGTACTTCCAAAACTGTCACGTCCAGATATTAGAGATTGTCCCACCTTCTCCAAAACCACACTCGCGGCTCTTCAAAGGTGCGCACATTTGACTTTAGGTTGTTCTGTTTTTTTTCCCTTTGGAATTTCTTCTTTTTCTTTTTGCCGGTGTCATATTTTTTTAATTGCGCACACTTAGAAATTTTGACATGGCACACCATACAAAGTTTTGTATCTTTTGATTTTTGAATTTATTTATAAAAAGAATTACAGTAAAGGGCCAAATTCACAAATTAATTATTTACCTCTCACACAATGCATGTTTGCTAGTAGACAGTGAGCATTTACCGTTTACTTAATACAAATTGACAACTAAATCTGAAACAGATTCAACATTATTTAGTACTTAAATAACACAAAATTAATGCTGGAATAATGCTAATTATTGTGATTAGTGGCCCTTAGGCCTGATTTTTTCTTATTTATATACCATCTCCTAGCACGCCGATACATGCTGCATATATGCTTTCCTCAGATCTATTATTTACTCTTCTAACTGTCATTTTTCTCATATTCGCAGTCTCGCAAAGAAAAACCAACAACTCTGCTTCTATTGATCACTTGAAGATGCATTATTGCATGCAATAATAATCAAAACATTGCGGAAGGCATTCACATTTGTATCATTTTTATTTGAATACTCTGGGTTGTTGTTTCCATATATACATCAAATACTACTTTCTCAACTTTCAATTAACACCTTTTGCGGCGTAGCATATATGAACTTTTATAATTAGTTTTTTCTTATTTTTGCTTTAATTTTTACAATGAAAAGAGTTTTTACTTACTTTTGCTTAAAAGAATTAATAAGTCGAAATGACCTAAAAATGATCATGAATGAAATAACATGTCAATGCTTCTTCCAATTCAATGCAAAAAAAATTTTCGAAGACGGCTTTAATATTCCTTTTTTTTTTTGCGGAAATTAGAAAGAAGGACTTGTAGCCAGTGATATTTACTGAAGATGAATTATAATAATTGTAATTATTTAAAGGATCATATGTCATTGCCTCAATTTTTTTAAAAGAAAAAACCTAATTAACCTTTTCCAACCAAGGTTATATCCATATCATCGATATATAATTTAATTATTAATATTGGCATCTATTCATTTACATCATCAAGTTTTTTTTGCCTGATTGATATTATCTATATTTATGTTGATTAATTAAACTCTATTCAATATAAACTAAAAAAACATAAGAAATTTTATAGATGTTAAAAAATCATTATTCTCCATAAAAAATTAAAATTTACATTTACATTTAAGTTTTTAGTCTTTTTAAATAATTACAATTTTATAATCTCGCTAATAAATATTATTTTCTCTAGGTCTTTCTCTCCAATTTCCCTTTTTTTTTTGGATTGAGCAATCTTAGAAAATCGAGTTTAGAATATAAACAGTATTAGAAAATTTTATCCACAGAAATACTGATGATGTGACCATTCATGTGTTTGGAAATCTTGTGACCAAACCAGCTATAGAATGGTTTTGTTTCTCTAAATTTACAAAAGGTATGTTTTCAAAAGTTTGTAAAACGGTGACGGTAATAGAATTTTCCAATCCGATAATGCTAAAGAAAGTCCTTGCAGAGTCTCCCACTTGGCCATTTCTATTGATGAGCTTCAATAATTGAACACATTTTTAAGAAGGTTTTGAAAGAAAAAAAACAGAGAAAACCAAATGATCAAATGGAATTATGAATGTTCAGGTTAAGAAACAGAAATAAATGTGTACATTCCAACGAAATAAATAAATAAGCAAATGAGTATATTTGGAGTCCTTTGATCCCCTAATTTCTTTAACTCTTCCTTCAAGTAAACCAAGTTTAGTGCATTTCACTAAGCTCCAAATTATCAACTACCAAGAGATCCCATTGACCATTGTCTTTCATGTTGCGTATTTTGGGGTCTACAAAAATGGAAAAATTGACAAGAATTGGGTTTATTTGCCCTGTGTTTTGGGCCTTTTTTAATATAAAAACTGTTATATTAAAATTGTTTTCTTTAAAAGTTTTATGCAAAATAAAAGTTATTTTGACTTTAGTTAAAAGTAGCTTTCTTAGTCTGGTTTAGGGCTAATTAGTGGTTGTTGAATTACTCATTGCTTAATAAGATTGGCTTTGTTGTGATCCTCCAATTGCTTTTGTTTGTGCTTTAGTTTACAAGCCTGGATCAACCCACGTTAGCGCCTAAATAAAATACACTAGCGACTTGCGTTTGTTCAAGGCATAGCTTAACGGCAGTAGGATTAATAATGAAAAACACTTTGATAATTATCACTTTCTGCCTTCACCGTAAAAAACTTGTGATTACTGACGGAATTCAACAATGGAATTACTAACGAACCAGTGATAGAATTAAAATTTTACGACAAAAGTTAGCGACAAAATCACTAAAAAATTAGTGATGAAATTACTGTCAGATTATCGATGGAATGGAATTCTGTAGGCAATTTATTGGTATATTTAGTAATGTAATTTCTGTTGGTAATCTATCAAAATTATTGACAGATCGAATAATTTTTTTGTTGTTAATTCTATCGGTGATAAGCTATTTTTTGTAGTGCTTTTCTTGTAGGGTGATTTTCTTCGATTAAGTGAAGTATGACAAAAAACCATAAAATAAATTTTTCCAAGAATTTAGTCCTGAGAATTCACACCAGCATTGTCACTTAATACTCTAATCCTCTAGGGTCAGTGAAGGACAATCATTAGCTACAACGCGTATTTCTTCGACTTTTTAATGCTTTTAGGTATATTTGCGTTTGGTTTAATTTTTTTTTTTTTCAAACGTGATTTAAAAATATTTTGGGTTTGGATATGATGAAAATAATTCTTATTAAAAATTATTTTCAAACAATTAAAATTTCTCAAGAATAACTTTTCAAAATATCACCTGTGTGGTCCCACAAAATTTTATTTTTGGTTTGTCAAATAAAAAATGTCTTTCAAGTTTTCTTGGTATAATATTCCTTCAGTCTTAAATATAAGACTCTTTTTGTAGCATAATTTATATTACAAAAGGGGTCTTAAATTTACGACCGGAGGAGTATAATTAATGAGAAATGCCAAAGTTAAAAATATTAAATATTGATAAAATATTTTTAAGTACTGGCATATTAAACTTTCTTTTTGAAGAAAAAATAATGATTCGCACAAAAGAAATCATCATTTGAGTCTAAAAATATTAGTTAGAGCTAATTATATGACTACAAAGATACCTTATAAAATGAAGCAACCAAGTTGAAAATTGAAAAATGATATAACAAAAAGATGATTAATTTCCCAGATAAACTAATGCAAAATAAAAATTCGGAAATTCCAAAAACAGAAAAAGAAAAAGAAAATCATATTTATTTT